CACACACACACACACACACACACACACACACACACACACACACACACACACACACACGTACATATTAACACACACGGCGTGGTGAAATCAGGTAGATCTACTCTTCAAAACAATGAACGTGAAGAAATTGGCATTTTTCCGCAGGTTCGGGATTTTAAAAATAATTTTAATTTTTTGATTCAACACCTTTCATGCTCATTAAAGAACACATTTCTGTGTGGATTTTACTGATAAACGTTGATTAAAGGCATGATTGAAAATGTAAATTTTCAGTTTCCACTCTCAAGCTAAAGATAAAACTCACGTTTAACTGCCATTTTCAAGCTATTTTTATCTTTGAAACCAGGTGACCCCCACCTCCTTCAATCGCCAATGTCATGACTTGTATCTAACACATATGGATATTGTGTTCATCAAAAGCAAGGCTTTAAGATGATACCAATAACTCCATATGTCCCAAAATTGACGAGTGCCTGATTCCACAGTGTCGTGACACGTAATTAGACAGATATAAGTAGGTTATATTCTGAGGTTTGTTGGTACTGACCGCAAACTGACAGTACAAACCCAACATATTAAATATAGATAGACCATCAACTAAAAGGATGGAATTGAACATTTACCTACAAAATTATTTTAAAGTAAATTTTCCAAACCATGACTATTTAAAGTGTAATTTAACTGGCCATAAATTAAACATTTATCTTTACTTATTTATGAATAATTTATAGAGAAACTCACACTCTTTTCAGGTGAAAACATCCTCGAAAGGTTCCAGTCGCGATAGTCTTCACGTGTGAGTGTTTGATAATGCTGGAATTTAAGAAATCAGATTGGTGGTAAAGATGGAAGTTCAAAAAATTATGTCTTTTCTTCTCTTTCTTTCTCTTTTTTTCTTCTTTTGGGTATCTTGTTGTACTACAAATCCCTCCTCTCTGTCTCTGTCTCTGTCTCTGTCTGTCTGTCTGTCTGTCTGTCTGTCTGTCTGTCTGTCTGTCTGTCTGTCTGTCTGTCTGTCTGTCTCTACGTCTCTGTCTCTGTCTCTGTCTCTTTCTATCCCTCTCTCAACAGCCTTTATTCTCTAACATTCATACTCAAACGTACGCGCACACATATTTACATGATTTAGAAGACGAGATGGGTCGGATATAATATCACAGCAAAAGAGGCTGACTCGTAGGCTGTACTTGAGCTGATCTCGTATTCTCCTTTCTTCTACTTCAGTAAGCTGTGTAGAGAAAATACTTTATATCCTGTTCTTTTTCTGGGAGATGATAATGCCAACAGACACTCTTGTTTAGAAAATCGATAGCTCTGGTAGTAGCATGCTGGGCCATAGTGCCAAAGATCCTGGTTTAAATCCACGAGGAGTTGTTCTGGAACTTGGATTTGTGGAGATAGTTTTCAGGGCTCTACGCGTGTATATCTCAGACCTATAGGAAATGGATATTACTACAGTCTGTGGAAGTATTTCTCTGATCATCTGTCAGTAGTAGTCGCTGAAAGCAATAAGAATCCTTTACCACAAAAAACTTAGAAAATTCAGAACTTCGAATTATCATTTTACAATAGGGCTATCTTCGTAATGACATATATGCAGCTAGCAGAATAGTTATTCCCTCACCCCACGCAAGTGTGTGTGTGTGTGTGTGTGTGTGTGTGTGTGTGTGTGAGTGTGTGTACGTATGTTTGTATGTGTGTGCGTGCGAGAAGAGATAGAGATAGAGAGAGAGAGAGAATATGTGTGTGTGTGGGTGTGTGTGTGTG